AGATATTAATAATGTAAAAATAATACATAAAGAGAAAAATATTGTAAAAAGAAAATTTAAAGAACATTTCGCGATAATTATGCAAAGTAATGTAATGAATTTGAATAATGGGGTGATACCAGCGGAATGCTGGGAAGAGTTTGTGTTTCTTAAAGATTGTAAACGCGATGGTATCAGTGAGAAAGATGTGTCTTCTTCTGTGTCTACGACGGAAAAAAATGTGTCGTCTGAGATACCTTCTGCTGTTCCTATTGTACACTCTAGTCGTCAGAAACCCTACTGAAGAGGCCTTGACAGGCGAAATGCATTTGGGGTGAAGTATATATTTATATAAAAATAAAATTATATTTTCCTTGTTAACCTGTTTACCTTTTTTAATTTTTTATATCAGTCTACGGACTCGGGACTTATTAAGCCTCCAAAAGTCAGAAACGAATGGAAAACTAGTAGTTTTCCGTGTACTAAAGATTAGTACAGTACGGTAATATAAAAAATAAATAAATCTTCTCTGAACTGTGATTTTTCTAAGGCTAATCGTTCATTTTCTAATACTAATTTTGAATTTTCTTCTGTCAAAATTTACAAACGTTCTAATTCATTTTGAATTTTTTTACGCGATTGATTTTCATATTTGGCTGAAACTGTTTCGTGCATTTAAATTTTTCTATTGATATCTTTTTCGCCTTTTCCTTTAATGAATTCTATTTCAAAATAACATCTTCTAAGTTCCTTATTCTTTTTTTGCCGATTTTTGTAGATTAAAGAACATTTCTTTGTGAATTACAAATGTGAATTAGTTACAATAAATAAGGGCTTATGATGTTTGTGAGTTACTTTAAATAAGTTAACAATTTTTTTTTCTTTTGTAAGACAAATAGAAATAAATACAACATTTATAAATATCGTCATTTTGATGATCTGTTTAGCTTGTGACAGGCGATGTCGCGCGCACTGATTTCAATGAAATTAAAAGGCGTCGTTTGCGTAAATGATTCCAGTTAGGCCTACCGCGAAAATATTGTATGATGCTATCAAAAATTGGGCTAATTATCCAAAGATTATTTCAAAAATTTGAGATATCGATATATTTTACATTAATTAACTAAAATTACTTCAATTATATTAATCGCGATTAGAAAATTGGTATTAGAATAAAGAACCGTAATTTCATACTCTGCAGTTTATAGAATTTTATGGTCACAGTAAAACTCATACGTAGTTATTTACCCATTTTTAATAAGAAAAATGATTATAACGGACCATTGAAAAGTACTGAGACATTCGGTGTGGACCACGTGCAGATAGAATTGGAACCTCTGGTGTAGAACAATACTCTGAATCAAAGACAATTAAATGCCCAATTCTAACAAAACAAGTTTAATACAATAAATTTATTCCCATCACACGAAAACAATTAATGAAGTGCAGGGAATAAAATCGTCCTCCTCTACATGAAAAAACAGTTTTTTCCTTGGAATGATTGATAAATACAAGGGTAAAAAGTTATATAAAACGTAGTTCATTAGATGAAACACTTCTCTAAATGCTCGAGTTTCTGTATCGATGCACTCTATACACGCTTCATGGAAAATATACGCGAATCATTTCTTCTCTACCATTTTGAGTACAGAATGTTTCAGCCTTTCCAATTTCTCTTTGATTGTCTTATAACCAGATTTAAATTCATAAATATAAACAGAAAAAGCATTCACTCTCTCTCCATAAAATATTGTTAGCCTGCCCACATCTCTGTGAATTGAAAAGTTTATAAAAGGTTTAGTTTTGTCTTCGTACGAATACGCTGCAAAATCTTTGTAGAAGATGACACATTTCATTTCTTTGTCCGGGATATTCATTTTGTGGCATACATTCTTTATTTCCTTCTTTAAATCTGACTTGTCATAAAATATAGATTCGTTTCCAAAGAATGCGAACGGATAATTAAAAATATTGAAGCCTGTAATGTTTGGAAACATTGATATTTGTATTTCGGTTGTTTCTTCTATTGATGAGAACTTATATTTTACAGGAAAAATGTGTGTGTCAGCATTTCCTGGAATCAAAGACGTAATCGTTATTAACGATTAATAAATAATTTCAAACTTACATACTACAGCTACTTACTACACAATGCATGCGTAAATTCCATATATTTACGACTTGAAGAAGAATCACGTGTATACATAGATTCCACGCTTTCATTACGATTATAAGTAGAGTGAATCTTACGTTCAGGTTCATCTCCGAAAACGAACCAATTGTATTGAAAATGTTCGTCGAACCCAAAGTAGGGACGTAGTTTTTCCGATTCGCAGACTACGGAGTTTATTGCAATCAGAGGAATTTTCTGTTTAAATAAATCAGAATATTTACAGTAAATGTAAATTTATTTAGAGAATGTAATTAATGAAAAATTATTTTACTTCAATTCAATAATTCTAAAAGTGTCTTTGTATAAATGTATTCAAGTAAGTGTCTAGAAAGATTCTGCATTTCGTGATAAGTTTTGAACTAATTTTTCTACAAATGAATACACACTAAATATGTTTAATTGATAAGATTTCAAAGTCGAAAATGTAAAGCATTACTTCAGGGTTCAAAAGAAAACTTTCAAACTTAATACTTGGACGAATACGAAATTAAAAAGAATAATCAATTGTCGACGTTTCTTTAAACATTTTCAAAATGTGTAGCATTATTACAACTTTAAAAAACAAAAAAAAGGCTGTCTTGAAAATTATATATGGAGGCCAAAAAAAAATTATACATTCAGTCATTCTATGACAATTGTACAGTACAAACAATAGAAACCTTAAGCATAAATTACAGGAAAGCATTCGACTGTATCCTATCCTACATTTACGGTTCTTAGATACATTACACAAATACAAAATGTCCAAACAGTTATTACACATCTGGAATAAGCAATAAAACACTAGAGAAAGATATTACATCTGATTTCTTATACGTACAGTACGTTAAACAATTCAAGACGAAGTATTTTTCAAACAGATTGTTTTAATTTATTCTGGTTTTGTGCTGTTAAACTTATTATATATTTTTTGTCATTTGCATTGACTACATAAAACCACACATCCTCAGATAAATAGTCTAAATCTCCACCTTTACTCTATTGACGAAATTGATGTTTAATGTAGGTAAACGAAATACCATCTCACGTAGAGAAACGAATTCTGAGGAAAGACACAGCACTGAATCCATCGATGACTGAGAAATCTACAAATGTGTAGATTCAGAAAGACAAAACTCACATTTTTACGTACAAATCATACAAACTCTAACAAAATCAGAAAGTAAAATTCGCCATTTCAGTAATTAATATTTTTTAAACTAAATTCCTTAACTTTGAAATTATTGATGTTAAACGATTTTGAAATTTTGACCGTTTGTAGCAATTATATAATCATAGGATTTAATTAACAAAATAATGTTATAATAATTACCCTGGTGATCATTATTACTCGGTGAAACAATATGTGTTCGATGATATCTTTCCATAGAGTACACACTTGGCTGCATGCATCTAATTCTGCATCGTTCAAGTATTGAAATATATTAATCATTATTTCTGGCAATTCTGTGACTAAAGTGCAACCACGTGGCGACATTGCACATATTTCTGTTGTTTTTTCAAGTGTGATTTCTTCCATTTTGGCAACTGTCTGTAAAGAAAAAAATTATTAACTCTTCGTACTATTTCTGTTAATTTTAGTGAATCTCGTGACTGTTGAATATTGTCAATTTTACATTGGTTGCTTATTCTGTATTGCTACAAAATAAGAATAAATTACAAATAAAATAATAATATAATATTTTAAAAATTAAACATAGATCGAAAGAAATTTGTCCTTCGACCTAGTAACGAAGTTTATTAATCGACTGGTTTTTCGTGGATATAACGAACTAGTTTGGTGTATTGCTGTGTTGTTAACTGTAATGATGAGTAAGAAATAATCAGTTGGTAACGTGACTTTTAATTTCGAGGCGAACAATTAGATATAACGATAAATTAATCGGTAATGACGTGGAAAGAAATTCGTTCGAACAACGATCGCGCGGCGATTGACTCTACGTCATTGTTAGTTACACCCCTTCGAAGTAAATTAGCGATTACTTCGAAGTCTCTCGGATCAAACACGTTAACTTTTCGGGTGGAACACGCTCTATAATAAGTCTAGCACGTGTTTGTACTTTGTCTGGTTTCGGCAATTACTTGGCTACGCTGGAATTACGAAACAGAAAGCTGTTTGATAGAGTTTTATAGGTGTAAGAATATAACAATTCAATCGATTTTATTGTAATTATAACGTTATGAATATGACGATATCCATTCCATTTCCATCTAATTATTAAATTTCTGTCAAATAGGCAAAAATGGAAGCAGCCGAAGCTAACGTCAACAAATCGTCGTCATCGCTCGTCGCCATTTCACCAACTACTTAGTGATGTGCCTGATCGTTAAAAATGTATATCCGCGGATGCGGATACGGATCATTAGAGTCTAGATCCGCGGATACGGATACGGATCTCAACTTTCGTACTCAGTCGGCGCCGGTGCGTGTGACCTTGGACCGATAGTCGACTCTGCGTTAATAACGCGACGTGTTTTGACTTGCACTGCGCGTGTTTTTGTTTATAGTGTAAAAATGTGCTACATTAGAATTCACCGCAAAGAAAGACAGGATGAAGTAAAAAAAGTTGAAATAATTTTCCAATTAAGCTATTTCGCGTCTTTAAACAGATTCCAACTTCACGGTACAAACAGTAGCATCGAAATTACAGCGAAAATTGTTCGCTGTATCCAAAGCACGCGTACAATACAGATCCCGATCGCGACAATATAACCCGGAACCTTAAACACTAACTTAACACTAATAGCAGAAAAAGGGATGGAATTAAGAAGACAGAAAAAATGGTAGATAAGATGGAAATAGAGATATCTGGGGGTTTTGTTCCTTTTTTCGGCTTGTTTCTTTATGCGTACTGTTCGGTGGGATAAAACACGTCCTTCTCCTATAACTGGCCAGTTCTCTTCTTCAATAATTACGATTTTTCCTTCCACAGTCGTCAATACGACCTTATAACAGGAACTTTTTTCTGAACTTATTTATGAACTCTGCGGTCATTGAAAATACGACTCCCAGTATTCTCACCTCGTCCGTACACTCTGCAGTCCAGTTTAAAAATGACCTGCTACGTCACTTCTCTTTTTTCTCCAACTCCTGCTTACACCTTTGCTCTTCAAATTTCTAGGAACTGCTCATCCCATCCAAGGGACAGGGAATAGATAAGAAAGTTCTAGAAGAAAATAGAATAGAACAAAGGGTAGAAAGAAGAAACGAAACTAAACTAAACTAAAATTAATATTTACAAAAATATAGAGAACCTCCACAATAATTTAGTGCAGTGTTTCCCAACCTTTTTTGTGCTATGCCCCACCTAAGCCTTTCTAAAATTCTTATGTCTCCCTAACATATACAGCGGCTATACGGTTAACTTAAACTCTGGACAAGTCCATTTTCGAATTGCCCTCCGTAGCAATCCAATTGCCCCCTGTGGGACGTGGACCCCACGTTGGGAAACACTGGTTTATGGCTAGTGTGACACGAGATAGCGTAGATTACGTTTGTGTTTTTGGAGAGTGTTGAGTTAAATTAAAATAAAAACAATGTCGACAAAAAAGTTTAGTAGTGTAATATGGAAATATATTTTACGATAGTAAACGACGAATGTGCTATTGCTACCTATAATAATATATAAGATGTATTTTTGGTGCAATAAAGTGTTATCTATCTATCTATCCAGTAATTTATGGCCTTTTTTAATGAAATAAAACATTTTTTTTAAATACTCAAAAAACTTTTATTATTTAGACTGGTCACTACACAGCAAATCAGTAAAACTTCTTACACGTTTAGGTAGTAAACTTAACTTTGGTTCGGTTTAACACTTGAGATAGAGATAATTAACTTTAAATGTTTAGTTAGATTATAATTATGATGTAATTGTGAGATTTGGAATTTTTGTGACGGGAAATATCGCTTGTTTATTAACAAAAATGTTAATTAATTAAAACTTTTGTTTATGTAACGCCCTAGTAGAAAAAACGATCTTGCCCGGGATTGTGTAAACTTTCTGGTCTTAAGTAGCAACATCCATTGTTCTTTGCAGAACTTGCATCTCATCTTGCAAAAAGGTTGATAGTTAGCATCTAAATGTCGTCATTTGTTGTAGATCCTAGGAACACCTATAACCCCTAACCTATGTACTGTACTGTACAGTACATCCGATCACGTGGTGGAAATTCCCCACTAAAACCTATAAAAGATCGTTCTTACTCCCTCTCAGGGGAGTCACTTAAGATAAGTCGGACGGTGACATCGACCCTGATCCTCCGAACTGAGAAAATTTCCGATCTCCGAAGATCTATCCCCGATCAGCGCTCCAGTCGCGAATATATATATGTGGTGCCTAAGTGGATAATAAGGACCGTTTTTGTGGACTTACAATTCAGGGCCTCCCAAGTGGTAATAGTCGTCGGGAACTCTCTCTAGAGGTATGGCAAATGCGGTGAACTCTCTCTCGCTCGGCTTATAACGGCTCATTTTTCGTATTTCCGCGTCGATAAACTGCACGGCTTTTGTAAAATTGTCGCAGCGTTAACTTGCTCTTTCAGATCGGCGTGTTTATCGAGCGAATCGATAACCTAGTTATTTGTATAGTGTGTAGTATCAGTTTCAGTATAATAAATTGTTATTTTATTTGTTAACAATATGGTAGACTCCTTTACTCGATCTCGCCCTTCACCTTATCGTCGACCTCAATCAACTCTCTTTACACTCGCCTGACGCATCATCCTGACCATTGAACGGGAGTCTTACGCCCCCGTGTTCACATAATCATTAAGTTAAATAATAGCAAGGGTAATTCTACTAATTAATTTATATTAATCTATATCTATACTAATACAGTAGAGCGTCGATTTTCCGAATCAATTGGGGACTGGGGTCGTTCGTATAACTGATATTTCGGATAACCGATTACATATAAAAAATAGTTTAACGTATCCGATGTAGAAATTTTTCTCCGTTGCGTGTCGCTTCGAGTTGAATTTTCGTCGATGTTAAGCCTAACAAAGACTATTGTATCGTTAAAAATTATTTTTTTATTTTGTACAAACAAAATAAATATATTGAAAAATATAAAAATAATAAAAAATTATACTTCAGATGTTAATTTAGTATCAAAAACGTCAAATATTTGAGTAGCCCAAGACATAGCCAAAGATTGAAGCGCCACAGCACTGGCGAAAATTTAAATTTGCCGACTGGAATTCTTTTGGATGTTTGACCTTCGGAAAATCGACGCTCTACTGTATTATAAAGAGGTAATGTTTGTAAGTAAGTACGTTTGGATGTAGCGGGTAATCTTCGAAACTACTCATCCGATTTCAAAAATGTTTTCATTAATATTTAGAGTGGAACTTCGGGGTGGACATAGGCTGTATATTATTCCGTTAAACATTCATATAAATTAAAAGATATAATCTAGGTTAAAGCTTTTATGTCCAACAGATGGCGCTACGAGTACGACGCCCTAAGTTTGCTTTTCTGTGAGACATTATGCTGTTCTGTGAAAATGAACTGAAGCAAATCATCTATCTATCTATATAAATAAAAATGTAATGTTCGTTTGTTCCTACCGATTCCTTTGAAATTTTGACACAACACTGCATTCAAATACGCACGTGTTTTTATATAATATACATGTCGAAATTCCCCCACTGAAGGGAGATGGTTATCATTAAGGCTTACTGTAAAGGATTCTGCTTCTATTTATAATATTTTAGATGCTGTTTTTTGCGTTTTTTATTGCGTTTTAATAGGGTAGGTCAAGAGAATGTACACTAAGAAGAAATTTTTCGAAAAATTTCCCCCCACGGGGGAAGTGTTATACATTTATAATATAGTAGATACATTTTGAGCCACAGCAATGCGTAGTGGGGTCTGCTAGTATATTATCTCGAACGTAACGGCATTTCTTAATATAAAAATTCAGGTCGCCCGCTCACACGGGGACAATATAATCAGAAAATTGACACAACTCATTAATGCAGGTAATTTTAAAGTATATAAACGAATTATTAAATTTTATTTAACATCATTTTTATGTCAAAATTATGAGTGTGAATGTAAATTTGTTGCATTAGATAGGACCGGATGATTTTTGTCATTGTAAATAAATTAATCGAATTATTTCGCTTTTACAAGACCAAACATCCATATATAAACTCCAGAAATTGTGTAGATTGCGAATTCTGACGTCACGCGCACTGACGAATAAAAATTAGGAGATGATTGCCTAAAGATGACAGGAGCGATACGCTCGTGTATTGCTTGCCACAATTTAAGAAATGTTCCTTCGTACATCTTTTAACGGTTGCTGCTGGCTAGAATGACAATCTTATTCACCAGTAAAATAACTAAGCAGTGGAGTAGCGAGGGGGCAAGGAGGTCTATCGTGACCGAACGCCATTCGCAGAAATGTGTCAAATGTTCTCCAAGGCAACCAAGATTTGTTTCTGGAGGGGGGTGGCGCCAATAAATTGACGTGCCCCG